AGATGTTGTAGTGAGATTAAAATCAAACACACAATCTCCCAGTGTCTGACACAGAAGGAAGCTTCTCAGCAACAGCAGGCAACATTCACAGCAGCAACAGGCGGCATGAGACACATTCACTCATGTGTTTCCTTGGAACAAGGTGATTAATGTCATGATAAAGCCAACTTGCCTCATGTTACTGCTGAAAAAGCCCAGGTTTCTGCTACCAGTGTGAAATTGTAACCACAGGCTGGAGGCACACAGCACGTCTGAAGTACTGAAGTGTTTAGGGGATCTTGATACAAGGGCATTTGACTTTGGCTCCTGCTGATTTCAGCTGTACTCTTCTAAAATGTTTCTCAGAGTGTGTTTTAGTTTTATAATGACAGGACATAAAAAGTCAACTCCCAGTGCAGCACAGGTTTGTTCTGCTGTCCATCCAAGTCGTCTGAATGAGGGCAAAGCCGACTAGAGACATGGCAGTTATTCACAGCACACACCACAACACTACAGGGACGTGAACATCAGATGCCCTACATTGTACTGACCGTGTGTGTGTGTGTGTGTGTGTGTTTGAGAGAAACCATGGGAAGCACCGAGGAGTCGGCCCACTGGACACCAGGCTGGACGGACAGCTCGTTCCGCCAGTCAGACGACACCTGGGCAGCCTTTCCTCAGGATTGGTCAGATGAGAGTCAAGATGTGGGACAGTGGTGGCAAACCAGCGCTGTAGAAGAGAGGAGAGACAGACCCTCGGCCAATCCGAATCTGGTAGGTTGTATTTTAGTGCTCAGAGTCTTGAACCATAAAGTAGTTCAGTAAAGTAGCATCAGCATCAAGTTGGACGTTTATTTGTCTCATTTTCTGTACAGTAATATTAACCTGTGGTGTTAAGGGCATACGAGGAGCTGCCTGCTCCTCAAGTGGAATCATGTGTACACGCTCTAATGAACCAAGTGAACAGATTAATAAAACATGCTCAAGAATTAATAAACCAAGTGCTCAGTCTACTAACCCATGGATTTTGACTTCAGGTATTTTTAGCCAATGTAGCAGCACGGCTCTAGAGGGCAGTGTCAGTCGGTTGGTCCACTTTAGACCAGACTGAAAACATGGACGGACCATGAGACAGTGGGCCCCTGGGCACAGATGAGTAAAAGGCCCCCCTTTCTCCTTTTCTCCTACACTTCCAGGAAAAAAACTGAGAAACCATGTGATTTGTAGTCAGCTTGTGTCTTCTTGTGGCTCTTGCTAGTTTGTGTGTAGCCAGTTAGCACGTATTTTCCTTTGCTTTCCTAGGGGTCTTTTCTGTCTGTAGTCATTCTGTGTCTCTTTGTAGTTGTTTTGCATCTATTTTTTATATTTTGTGTCATTTTGTAGTCATTTGACTGACTTTCCAACAGAAAGGTTAACAGTCCTTTCACAGTTCTGTGGCCTAGGGGCTCCCTGACTCCTTGGGCCCCCGGGCCTGTGGCTGGTAGGCCCTTTGAGTGATCCACCCATGACTGAAATATCTCAACAACAACTGCATATATTGGCACAACAGCTTGTGAAGACCTTAATGGTTCCCTGGTTATGTACCCTAATAAGTTTGATGAGTGACTTTTCCTTCAGCTTCACCATGAGCTTGACATTTGTGGAGTGAAATGTCTGGTTGCCATTCATGTTCATGTGCTGAAGTTTTACCTCTTCCTTTAATGAGAACATCAGGTCAATATGTTAATAAGGAGACCAAGCTGGACAGACAACCGAATGGCCAGTGCTTTAGTTTACGATCAAATAAAAGTAATGACATTCATGTCAGTCTCAGCTATGCTTTAATTGGTGTGCTAATTAGCAAACATTAGCATGCTAACAGTAAACAAAAATGAGGATCGTGCCAAATATCACAGCTGAAACACATCTGCTTGTTAGCATTGTCACTGTGAGCAGCCATATAACCCCCTCCGTGGGTTCCATATGTCTGGGAAGGGCTTCACTTTTTTGGGTGGACCAGCTTTACTGTACCCTGCTTCCTCCTCCTCTTCTTCTTCTACATCAGCTGTTCATGTCCTACAATTCCCACAGTTACTTGTAAAGTTCTTCAGACAAGACCTGATGGATGCCTACAGTAGATGACATCTGAGCATAGTGGTGGGTAGTTTGAGCTTCACTGCTTCGTGCTCTGTTGAGGCTACCATTGATTTATTGCTGTTGAAAAGCCCTTGCTCTTCATTTAGTCTGACATTGAAAATTGACTTTTATTATTGATGTTTTAGAAATAATTCATTTTTTCTGTTGTAGCTGTAGATTTTTTTTTTTTCAAAACTGTCAAAGAACTTACAAACCACCAAATCACTATTACCCCTGTATTTTAAGTAATGAATCTTTTATGTTTAAATTGTATTGTTTTAGCTTAAACATAACTTTAAAATAACAGTTTTAGCACCAAATTGCTCATAATGTTTGGCTTTAACTCCCCCAGTGTTCACAAAAAGCTTCACCCCTCAGGCTCAGTGTGAGTCTGTTATTTTAAGTATGAGTCAAGCCAAATTGTTTGCAATTATAGATATTGATAGTTAGATAGAAAATTGAAAATCCCAAAGTGCCAGTGGCACCTGCAGATCCCCAGGCTCCCAAACCTAGTCAAAGTGGAAAGTGTATTAAAGTAAAGGTTGTTCTAAGCCTGCTTCAAACAGGCATGTCTCAGACATAGCAGTGATGCCAATATATTGGGGTAAACATGGTGTCATCCACATAAACACCGTGTCCTCTCCTCCCTTCACATCCAGCTGGGGGCTGAAATGGATTTGTTAACACAAGACTGACTGCAGGCTCCCAGAGTAGATAAGCAACAGCAGTTAACAGTACGCAGAATATTTCTCTGTATATACGATAAAATGACTGTGGTTCAGTGGGTAGAGCAGTCGTCTCCCATCCGGAGGGTTAGGTTTGAATCACGGTGCCTGCAGTCCACATGTTGAAGTATCCTTGGCTAAGACACTGAACCCCCAAGTTGCTCCCTGATGGTTAGAGCCATCGGTGTAAGTTGGCGCCGCAGATGGCTGCCTCGGTTCTGTATTGGAAACAGATTCCTTGTGTGTAACATACTTGGCCAAATAAAGGTGATTATTATTAAAACCAGGACGGTTATGACCCTAGGGCTCACACAACATTATTCTAGATGTGTCTAGAACAAGCTGGACATTAATGATCGCAGCTAACAACTAAACTGAGGCATCATTTAATCCATGCCCACTTGAAGCCGCTTCTTTTGATTAGTACTATTAGGCTAAATCTGTTTTGCACAGCACCATGAATAGTCTGACTGTAACTCACAATGACATCTAAAGCCTCATTAGAGAGAGATTGATTTCTCTGAGGAAGACGCGGTGGTTTCATTACTACCTGCACTATTGGGTGATTCTAGGTGTGCCAGGAACACCTTGGGATTTTTTTTCCACTAAGAATTACAGCCCCAGTTACCTACTCTTTCTCAGCGAACCCACTGGTCCTGCTGTAATTTAAGTCCAGTCTGCAGTGAAGCTTTGCAGTGTATCTCAGCTGTGTTCCTTGTTACTGAGATGTGTGTAAGAAAGTGCAGCATGTAAGAATATGCAGCTAAGAAAAAAGTAAAAGTCCAAACAGGAGGCTCTGTTTTCTTGATCATTATGTTTTTACAAATTCAGAAATTGGAAAGCAAGAAAGCAGAGAGCTCATATTGTTACCTCTACTGAAACTGTGCAGGGGTGGTGGTGTCCGTGAGACACCGGTAACCCTCAGCAGCACGTTAGCATGGTAGTTAGCATTCAGCTCAACGCCCTGCTGTAGACCCACAGCCTCACCAAGCCACTAGCATGGCTGTAGACTCCTATACATGTTAATCAGCACCTTGGGATGATTGTTCCAAAAACACTTGCTTCCAGGTCTGCTAAAACATTTAACAATTTCTTTATTTAAAACAAACAAATAGACCCCAAACTATAACCTCCTGTTTTCAGTTTTCAGCACCATTAGCATGGAAACACATCTCAACCTGACGTAGCCCTGGAGTGTTCAGATTTAAAATGAGTCAGTATACAAGTCCAAATGTCTCATTTCTAGCTCACATTAGGTCTGAGCTCGCTGAGTCGCCACTACAGGAAATGTAGTGAAACGATGCAGCTTTGGCCGAAGCTGCTGTAAAGGAGAGTGCTGGGTTTTTAATGAGTTGTTCTAGATGCTTATAGTGCCATGAAAATGATCTCAACCATACGAGATGAACTAAAGAGAGCTAGAAAAGCTTATGGATTCATCATGTTGGCATGTTTACTTATTATTTTTTCAGTCATCATTTGAGAGATAAGCTCCATTGAAATGCTCAGAAGGAAAAATAAAAAACTGTGGGAATCTGGAGACTCATAACTGATGAGGCCTTTGTCTCTCCTGCAGGCAGCCGTCTTTGCTGAAGCCTTCCCCTCTCTGCCTGGTGACACCTGTGACCTCGATACTGTTCCCACCCTGAGCCAGCTCCTCACGGGCAGAGTCAGCCAGGACCAGGGGTAGGTAAACCGACTTGGGAGCGCCCACTGTGCGTCCATTAACATAAATATTAGGGTACAGAAAAAGCTCCATTCTTTCCTCCTGGTAGCTTGTAGTTACCGTAAATCTGACATGACACAAACAAAGCAACAGTACTTTTATTTTAACAGCTTTTAGATACTTTTAGGTTATAAGCTGTTTCTGAACTTGTTTAAAAAAAACCTAGCATCTGAATCTTAGAACCTTTAAATTAATCAACCATCAAACTGGTTCCTGTGGAAATGGAGCAGTGTTCATTTAATGGTATAAAACAATAAATGGAAATAATAATAATTATCTGAAGTTCAGGAGTGGGACCTCACCTGAACTGCACCCCCTCCTATTTAAACTCTCCGTCCCTGCATACGTCCATTTTTACCCATCCAAGTTTTCCCTAACTTATTCCTCTACTTT